GCACTTGGTTCGGTTCATATCGAATGTTTACTCCATTGGCCTTTTACCATGCAACTGATCCTGCACTTGTCTAAGCCAAACAGCATCTTGATGTCAGTGCTTACCCAGTCCAGAAGCTTATGAAGATGTTCTTTGGTTTCTGCAAAAAGTTGAGGTCATCCATGTACCAAAGATGTGAAATGCGTGTTTCATTGCCACCTAACAGTATTCCTTTCTTTTGGCTATTTAGCATGTTGTTAACGGTCTAAGCGCTAAGCAGAACCATAGCGGACTTAAAGAGTCTCCTTGAAATATCCTCTATTGATGGATACCTCTCCGGCACTAAATTGCGTATCTTGGGTGTTGAGATAGAGCTGTGTCTTCCAATTCGCCATAGCATGTGCCAGAAATTGTTTGATGTGGCACTCGATCCCATAAAGGTCAAGCAACTCTAACTGCCAAGAGTGAGGTATACTGTCAAACGCTTTCTGATAATCGATGTATGCAATGTGCAGGGATATTTTTTTCTTTTTGGCATAATTAGTTATGACAGAGTCTATAACAAGTTGCTCTTTACAGCCTCGAGACCCTTTCGGCAACCTTTTTGCTCTTCGTCTAGTATAGTATTCCGCTCTAGGTGTGAAAATATCTTTTCAGTAATTATAGCAGTCAATACCTTGTAAATAGTCGGCAGACAGGTGATTGGTCGGTATTTTGCCGGATCGTTAGAGTGACCGCCGCACTTTGGGATTAAATATGTTTTCCCATTGTTAAGAACTCTGGTAACATATCTGGTTGCTCTAAGATTGAGGTGTAACACTTTGCGAGTCGATCGTGAGCCGAAGTGAACGTTTTAGCCAATAATTCTGAAGCTTATCTGATCCTGGGGCTTTCCAGTTTGGTAATTTTCGTAAAGTATTTACCACGTCAGCTAAGCTAACTTTCCAGTCGAGCATGGACCTAAAAGTTGAATTATTTGCTTTCTCTTGGCGGTACCATTTAGATGTGCAATGATTGATGGATTGCTC